GTGCGGGCTGAAGCCTCCCCAGGGCCTGCGTTCACTTCGTCATCGCCATTTCACGTTATGTATAGTGTAAGTAATTTATATGGTGGTGTGTTTTTTTTTTTTTAAATGTATATATTTTTGTATGTTTGCTATATTTTCATAGCATCGGTAACGTGTTTGAAACATGTAGATAGGAGACAGAATATTATTGTCAGAGTTATTTAAAGGATGTATTAAGTGCTTCTTCCTGGGAATGTCCCGTGTATATAAAGTATTAGGTGTCTGTGTGCATGTGGTGCGTGTGCTCTCCTCCCAGCTGAGGTTCGGCCGGGCTGGCTCTGGGCCAGTCCCTGCAGGTGGAGCGGAGCGTGGCAGGGGATGGGAAGCCCCGCCGCCTGCTAGTTGGTGTGCTCCCAAAAAAAAAACAACCTGCTCCGCGCTCTGGAAATGTCAGAGGCTTGGAGGGAAGCCTTGGGCAGCGACACCAGGCGGGCAGCGCGCCTCAGGTTAGACTGCATCTTGCCTCTGATGCTGGTGGTCCTGGAAGCATCCTTCCCGTGCCCTTGGCAGGGGAGACCTTTCTAGGCAGAGAGAGAGAGAGGGGTCTTCGCAGACACTGCCATTGCTAATCACGTCACCTCCTCAGCCTCCCCATCCAGCTCCCAGCACTTCTGCCACGCCGTGTTAGATACTTTTAAAGAAGGTTTCATTCCAGCTGTCCCCGTGCTTCCTTGGCTCCAGGTGCCTGCACACGTCCCTTCTGGCTGAGCGAAGGAGGATGCAGGAGGACACAGGGCCGCTCCGGGTGATGGCTTTGGGACCGGTGGAAGTTACCTTTGACAAACTCAGGTGATACGAAGGAAAGGTTGCAGAAGGATGTGAGCAGGAGAAAACAAGTGTGCTGTAGCTCGAAGATCACTTAAAGTGAGATGGTGGTTGGTCACCATAGAGGTTGCTGAAAGAGCAGATCGCACAGAGGGAAGTAGAGTGCAGAGAACGCTAATACGAGTAACCACGAAGCTCTCGTAACGGGAAGGAACAGGCAGGTAGAAGAGGAGATGACAGAAGTGCCTAGAGTTCAGTAGCAGTAGTTGGAGATGGAGGATTCCAGCTTGGAGGCAGCAGGTGCCTGGAGCAGGTAGAACCAGCAGTGAGGTCCGCAGGGCCCAGGGACGGGGCCCGGTGCTGGCTCAGGTGCTGATGGTAGTAGGCTTCAGGCACTGCACAGAAGTGATTTGTTAACTCCTTCTACAAACTGGTTTTCAAGCCAGAGACTTAAAACTATTGGCCTTGTATTTTTTGGTTCCTTCTACTTAGCCAAGCAGCACAGCCACCAGGCTCAACGCTGGTAGTTGCCCATGACTCTTGGCGATAGGTACAGTGCCGGTGCAAGTGCCTGCAAGCCACGTCCAAAAACCCCTAAGGCAGTAAAACGAGGAGCTGTGAGCTGTACCAGCCAGCCGGGATGTGGCACTGCAGCTCTGGTAACGGCACCGGGCACACCTCTGCAGTGGCAGCCAGCTGCTAAGCTCATTGCCCCTCTGGCCTGCCCTCCCCGCGGCTAGGAAGGACGTGGTTATAAAGCAAAATCCTGTTTGGTGAGATAAGCACAGGCCCTGGGTGAAACTCAGGAACTCTGTTCTACTTCTGTCCTTAAAGCCAAAGTTTCTGACTCCTTGGCTATGCCTCAAAAGGAAAGGCGCTGGAGAAGCATTGAGTTGTGTAAACAGCAACTGCACGCAAAGACAAAAGTTGCTGATCTAACACTGCTGCGTAAGCATGCAGGAATTTTTTGGGGCAGCAGAGAGATGGAAAAAGGAGGGTTACTGTAGGAGAGAGCTCACTGGCGCGTGCTGCTGGGTGGGCCACCAAGCCCTTACTCTCTTTTGGGTTCCTACGTGGGAGGTCTCCTAAGCACAACTGCGCCG